GCGTTCTCTTCGGGCGAGCCGTTCTCAAGCGAGTCGAGGACGCGCTGGGGCACGGCGGCACCGCCGCTGCACGCATGGGCAAACTCGAGCGTCTCCTTGACGGTCAAGGTCGGGTAGTGGAAGTCGCGCTGGCTCATGTACGACGAGATCTGCGGTAGCGTGTGCGCCACCGCGGGCAACGGCGTGCCGTTGTACGTGAGCTCACCGCCCACCGAAATGTTCTTGGTCAGGTTGAAGCGACCGGAGAGGTACTTCATGAGCGACGACTTGCCCGAGCTCGGCTGGCCGAGCACGAGCGTCATCGTGCTGGGCTTGAACGCGCCCGACATTGGGTGCAGAATGTCCTTGCGAAGCGAGCGCTTGGAGCGGAAGAGACCCATCGACGACTTCTTCATGTGGTTCCATATCGTCGGGAGCTCGTGGCCATCCTTGGTCGCGACGGCCACGTCGGCGGCGATCGAAAAGTCCTGGAAGCGAATCTCGAGCTGCGGCATGGACTTGCCCATCGAGGCTTCAAGCTGCGTGGCGAGCGCCGCGTGGAAGGCGTCCGAGCCGTCTTGCAGAAAGGCGTCGGCCGATTGCGGTGCGGGACTCATGGCAAGTTGTAAAATGAACACGCTGCACGTTCATGCAACTGGTGACTCGCTGCTGCATCGCCGTGCTGATGAGGCAAGGACGAGCAATCGTATTCGAGCGCCTCGGGCTTTCGGCGACGAAATCGCCACGTTCCGTCAACGCGCCGCTGCCAGCATGTATGCGGCATGTCGATTCGTCATCGAAACAACACATATGGTTGTGCTGCCCAGCTACGAGCCAACCGTCACCTTGCTATGGACAAAACCCGCATACGCAGAAAAGTCTATTCTATACATTTAGTATGCGTGAGTTGACTCTAGGCGACCGATCACCGGCGCAGAATCTGTGTTGCACGAGCCAGTGGCACTCCCTTGGAGTCGATTTATTCTTCTGGCTTGCGTGACGAGTAAAAAAGGAGGCTCAAAGCCGGCGTCCCAGACGCACTGCCGCCTTGGATTACGATGTCGTCAGCGGAGGGCATCCTCGTGGCTGGCGAGTGCCGTCTGCGTTTTTCGTTCTCGGCGCATTTAACCTCTGCGTTTTTGAGTTGGTTAAACAAGTCGTGGACAAATTTTCCTACAACGGACTCGAGATAGGAACATCGTACGCAGCTCCAGAGCCAAACCATCATGTTGTAGACAATGCTCAGCAAGAAAGATTAGCAAGCGCTGCCCCTCGTGGCGCTTCGGGATTGTGGTATATCACCACGCGTTTGAGTTATAGTGGTTAAGCCTATTTAACCTTTTCGCGTACAACGTCGGAGGAAGGCTAAAATTGTCGGTTTTCGTCAGACATGCCGATTGCATGCGTCTGTTGACGCCAAGACAACCTCTTCATATGTGCAAACGCATGTACTGCGACACTGATTACACAAGCGTCGCAGCGTTGATGCATCAAAGCGAACAAAAAGACCTTCAAGAGCGTCCTATACCGCGCGAAAGGACTGGCGGCATTTCAAAATCGCCCTTGTTCAGCTGCAACATCCTGCAACAGCCACACGACAATCGTACGGTATCTTGCATACTTGACAGGGAGTGTAGAATGTAGAGTTCTAGGGAACAGGCTCGAAGCAGCGGCGTGCTCTGCCTTTTACAAAGTATTACTGCGTCTGCAGCGGAGTGCGCTATACGCACATGGCCACAGTCGACTTTGGATGGGTTCGGGTCTACTGGTACATTTTGATATATGAAAAAGACTACTAGTATGCTATATAATGCCCACAAAATCTTGTTATTGGACGTCAAAGGAGATCGGTTGAGCATACAAGCTCAGGTCGCCATTGCAACGTACCGCTTGACCTTGGCTTTGGGGAGGTGCTCGGTGGCGTAGCGCACCGTGGTCTTGGATGCTTTGGGGGCAAACTCGTCGAGAAATGTCTCGAGTTGAGCTTTGCCTTCCTTGCCGTTTTCGCGGAGGACCCACCCAAGGGCCTTGTGGATCAAGTCCAAGCTCTCGAAAGCAACGCCATTGAGCGTGCAGCGCAGCGCTGGTGCGTCGTGGAAGCGACGGAGGTGGTAGGCGCAAATAGCGTACGAGAGCGCAACGTTGTCGGCTCGGACGCCAAGCAGCGCGACGATCGACATGCGCGTCTCCCAGAGGTCGCTGGACGTGAGCAGCGCCGTGTACCAGTCTGGAAGGAGGGTTATGTCGTCCTACCGTTGGACTCGCTCAGTAACGTTAATCAACGATAGCATATACATACCGGCCGAGAGAGGAAGGCGTCAACGGCTGTCATCTCGAAATGGAGCAGCGAGTGGCCCAAAATCTTGTGGCAGCACGTGTCCACGAGATCCCAATTGTTGCAGAACGCGGCATGCGCCAGGAGCACGCGACGTATCTCAAGTCGAACGTCGTCGTGCGAGGGGACCGGTTGCCACAGCGGCGCCTTGGACGGGCGCTCGTACACCTCGGTGAGCGCAATCAACGCCGTGAGCCGCATCTCGTGCCGCGGATCCCGGAGCAACTCCAGAAGCTCAGTCTTGGACGTGGTTGCCAAATACTTTTTGAGCGCGTCACGACACTGTGGCACGCGAAGACCCACAAAGACGTCGGTCGGGCAGTACGATCGGCGGAAGAAGCGCTCGACCTTCTTGGCGAACGCCGGTGATTGAAGCTGCTCCAAGGCTTGGAGGAGTGTCGTCGCAGACGCCTTGCGCTGCGCCATGATCAAAGTGCAAGTGCAAAGTGCGCCAGCCAATCACAACGGCGCTCGGCCTCCCGCGCACAGCCCCAACTGCACTTTCCCGCGGGCCAGTATCTGGGCCAGTATCTTTATCCGGTCCGGATAGCAAACGACAACGGTGGTGGCGGCGAAGAACCAGTTGACACCACACGACAATAAGAAGCTCATCTTATTGACACCACCACTACTCGCGTTGCATCACGACTGCATCGCGACCTGGGACGTAAATACCTCGTATGGCTCTCATCCTGACGCAACTCCCAACCATCGACACGACGAGCAACTCTTACTGTTGTTCCGGCTCCCTCGTCCGTGGCAAGACCTTCCTTTTTCCTACCGTAGCGCACAGAACCTTGCGTGCGACGCTCACTTTGCTATGCGTGTCATCTCAACGGGATGATGCAGCGAGAGGTGGTCCTGCGCGCATAGGCATTACCATAGGCGACGCATGCATGTACGTGTCTCCAAGTCGGATATGCTTTATGGAAGCTTGAAAAAGTTCATTCGAAAGTGGGCGTCGGTTCGAGCGAAACGGCCGAGGATGCAATTCTCTTGGCGTTTGTATACCTCGTGCAAAACGGGCCGCGGCCAAAGTCGTCGACAATCTTGCATTTGCGATGAGCTCTCGCTGGCTGCTCTCGCTGCTCGCCGGTGCGGTCGCTGCGGCGCCGCTTGCCAACCACGTGGAGCGACTCGACAACGACCGGCTCTTCTTCCGCGGCGACATCTACGTCAAGGTGGCGCCATTAACGCCCGCCGACGCCTGCGCCAACGACCTGTACCTGGTTTACAGCTGCGACCCGACAAAGTACATCCTCTCAGTGCTCTGCGTCGTTGGCCTCGTCGTGCTCGCCGGCGCCATGTCGGGCCTCACTGTCGGGGTACTCTCGCTGAACCGAACGCACCTTGCTGTGCTTGAGCAAGAAGGGTAAGCTGCTATTTTTCTTACTCCAGGCACTTTATATCGTCTGTAGCGTACCACGGCAAAAGGCGGCGGCCGCGCGGCTCCTTCCAATCTTGCGCAACCACCGGCTGCTGCTCGTGACGCTCGTGCTTATGAATGCACTCGCCAACGAAGCGCTGCCGATGTTCCTCAACACCCTCATCAATCCGGTCGCATCGGTTGTCTTCTCAGTAACATTTGTTGTTCTCTTTGGCGAAATTGTGCCCACGGCGCTTTGCACGGGCGAGCGGCAGCTCGTGATCGGCGCCGCCTGCGTCCCGCTCCTGCAGCTTCTCATGCGGTACGAGCTACGTACAGGCTGCGAGTCTCATGCTATGCTTTGTAGGCTCACGTACCCGATCACGTACCCAATTGCCGTGTTCCTCAACTTTACGGTCGGGCACTCGGCCGCCGACGCCCCGTACTCGCGCAACGAGCTCAAGGCGCTCGTGGCGTTCCAAGCCGACCCGACAGCAGGGCTAAGCACGACCGAGGTCGATCTCTTGCAGGGTATTCTCGAGCTCGGTACGCATGACGCGGCGAGCGTCATGACCCCTGTGACGACGGCCAGCGACGTATCGCCCGAGCCTTGCGTGCCGTCGACGAGCCGCCGCCTCGAGCTTCCGGCGGACGCCGAGCACAGCTGTCCGGATTGGCATGACCACGACATTTACGTGCACCACTCGACTGTCTACGTCGTCGACCGCATCTTCAACCAGGTGACGCGCCTGCACAAGTGCGTGACGACGCCAGCGTCGACACCGCTCGCCGAGCTCTATGCGCTGCTCCAGGACCAGCACGTCATTGCGCTGATCGCTGGTGACCAAGGCGCCGTCCTGGGAGTAGTGACGTGGCACGACGTGCTGCGTGCGACCAAGCGGCCTGTGATGAAAGGCGAGGCCGCGCTGAGCGTCGACACGCTGCCGGACGACGACGCGTCGTGTTCGAGCACTGACAGCAGCACGAGCCCGGACGGGCATGTACCCAAGCGCTTCTTCAAGGACGACGACATCAAGTACACGCGGCTGTGTATACTTGGTGGCGACGACGAAGACGACTTGGACCACCCGCACCGCCCCGTCGCCTGCTCCTAAGACACGATGCACTTGATGGTATGCGTGAATACAAAAGTTTGTTTGTCGTGATGAACCGTTCTTGCATCGCAGCCGTCCTCCGTGATTTGGCATGCATTAGCACCGCAAGCAGAGCCTGGCGCAGCCTGTATGCCTCCAGCGTTCGCTTTGCGTTGACAGTCACTGCAGCGATGTGTTGGCCACCGGTGTGGGAAAGAGTCTCAATCCTAGACTTCCCAAGTCTCTCGAGTGACTGAGGTTGCCAAGGGTCGTGACGGCGCACATCTGGTACGCCATGTTGTCGTCCATTTGGCCGTCGTCAATGTCATTCAGCAGCCAGCACCACTGAGCCAGCACCGTTCCCTGACCGCTCCCCAGATCGTTCCCTACTTCTCATGCAAACCGGACCAGGAAGCCACACCGTGTACACGGACTTTGGGAATTGATCCTTCCGTGACAGATTCTTGGCCCGAAATTTGCTGTCGCGGAGACTCTCTCAGTCTATCCGACAGCTAGATGGACCTGGTACATGTATCACGGCAGCAGTGTCGGCGACCTAGAGTGTCCATTGCACGCCAGTACTGTGCACTGCTACACGCTCGTACCGCCTCGATGATATGAGCGCTTCGGTTGTCCGCCGAATTTGCCGCCAATTTCAAATCGGATGCGATCCCGCGCGCTGATTGGCTACAATTTTCGTATGATGCAATCTCGCCCCATTTCCGCGGGTTATCCTGCGACATCATCAGGGACAGCAATGCTTTGCATCAACAAGCGCGGCGACGACGGCGCTTAACTAATCGTTGCGAGGGTATACGTCTTCTCAACGAACCCTCAATTGCCCCCCAAAACCACAAGCTAGAGGCAGGGCGCATGTATGCACGCAGCCTGTGATTGGTCTGTCTTCTCCTGCAACAAATCGGAGCTCGCATCTCAGTCTACAAAACGAGCCATGCTGCAAGAGTCCCATCACATCCCGGTGCTCGAGTCGGCGGACGTCTTCCTTGCCCAGGGCTCGGACGCTTTCCATGCATCGCTCGCCGCGCAGCTTGAAGCTTCCATGGGCAAGTCCATGCCGCAACTTGAGATTCGCTTCCAGGATCTCTCCATCTCGGCCGACGTCGCGGTCGCTACCAAGGACGGCCACGAGCTCCCGACCTTGCTCAACCACGCTAAGAAGTCGGTCATGGGTCTCTTCAGCTCTAAGCGCGTGATCCGCAAGGAGGTGCTGCACCCGATGTCGGGTGTCTTCAAGCCCAGCACGACGACGCTCCTTCTTGGCCAGCCCGGCTCGGGCAAGTCGTCGCTCATGAAGATCCTCTCGGGCCGCTTTCCCATGCACAAGAACATCACAGTGGGCGGCAACGTCACGTACAACGGGACGCCGTCGAGGGTGATCGCCGGGGCTCTTCCTCAGCTCTCGGCCTACATGAACCAGCGCGACTTCCACTACCCGACCTTGACCGTCAAGGAGACGCTTGAGTTTGCCCATGCGTGCAGCGGCGGTGCCGCCGTGCCCCAGCGCGTCCTCGACTCGCTTGAGAACGGCTCGCCCGAAGAGAACGCGCAGGCTCAGGCTGTCATTCAGTCGCTCTACAACGTCTACCCGGACATTATCACGCGCCAGATGGGCCTTGTCAACTGCAAGGATACGATCGTCGGCAATGCCATGCTTCGTGGTGTCTCGGGCGGCGAGCGTAAGCGCGTGACGGTCGGCGAGATGGAGTTTGGCATGAAGCTTGTGTCGTTCATGGACGAGATCAGTACCGGTCTCGACTCGGCGGCGACGTTCGATATTGTCAAGTCGCAGAAGAGCATGGCCGAGTCGCTCAAGAAGACGATTGTGATTGCGCTGCTTCAGCCGTCGCCTGAAGTCTACAACCTCTTTGACGAAGTGCTTCTCATGAACGAAGGCCACGTCATGTACCACGGCTCTCGCGCTCTCTGCTTGGAGTATTTCGAGTCGCTCGGGTTCAAGTGTCCGCCGAAGCGCGACGTGGCCGACTTTCTGCTGGATCTCGGCACGCCGCAGCAGGCGCAGTACGTCGTCGATGGGGCGGCGTCGGTGCCGCGCACGCCCAGCGACTACGCCGATGTCTTCCGTCGCTCGGCGATCTTTGCCGAGATGATGAGCCACCTCGAGGGCCCGCACCACCCGCTGCTCCTCGCCGATGCGGCCAAGCACATGGCCGAGATGCCGGCGTACCAAGTGCCGTATGTGCAGAGCACGCAGCAGCTCATTGCGCGTCAGATGAAGGTCTTTCTCCGCAACACGGCGTTCGTCAAGAGCCGCTTCATCATGGTGCTGGTCATGGGTCTTCTGTACGCGTCGACGTTCTATCAAGTCGACTCGGCCAACCCGGTCATTGTGCTCGGTGTCATCTTCACGTCGGTGCTCTTCCTCGCGCTCGGTCAAGTGCCGCTCATGCCGGCGGCGCTCGAGGCCCGCAACATTTACTACAAGCAGCGGTCGGCCAACTTTTTCCGGACGTCGTCGTTCATTCTGGCGCAGTCGTTCACCCAAGTGCCCTTTGCCTTTGGTGAGACCTTGGTGTTTGGCTCCATCATGTACTGGATGACGGGCTTTGTGTCGCAAGTCGGTGCGTTCCTTGTCTACCTGCTGCTGCTCTTTCTGACCAACTTGTCGTTTGCGTCTTGGTTCTTCTTCCTCGCGGTCGTCTCGCCCGACCTCCACGTCGCCAAGCCGCTCTCGATGATGTCGGTGTTGATCTACGTGCTCTTTGCGGGCTTTGTCATCTCGCCGTCGATCATCCCCGACTACTTTATCTGGCTCTACTGGATCAACCCGCTCAGTTGGTGCATGCGCGCGCTCTCGATCAACCAGTACTCGTCGTCCGAGTTCCAAGTGCCGGTCTACAAGGGCGTCGACTACATGAAGCTCAAGGGCGACACCATGGGCAACGTCATGCTCGAGACGTTTGGCCTCGAGACCGACAAGATCTGGATCTGGTACGGCGCCATTTACCTCGCGGCGTCCTACTTTGTGTTCCTCGGCCTCTCGTACCTCGCGCTCGAGTACAAGCGCTACGACGCCCCGGAGAACGTCTCGGTCACCGTTGATGACGACGAGACGACGCAGGACGACTACCAGAAGGCGCCCAAGACGCCCGTGAGCAACGACGATGTTGCGGTCAAGGTCGCGGGCTCGTCGTCGGCGTCGGTGCCGGCCACGCTCGCGTTCAAGGACCTCTGGTACTCGGTGCCCAACCCGACCAAGGGTGAGCCCGACCTCCAGCTGCTCAAGGGCATCAACGGTTTTGCTCTTCCTGGTACGATCACGGCGCTCATGGGTTCGTCCGGTGCGGGCAAGACCACTTTGATGGACGTCATTGCCGGTCGCAAGACGGGCGGCAAGATCGAAGGCAGCATTCTTTTGAACGGGTACCCGGCCACGGACCTCGCGATTCGCCGTGCGACGGGCTACTGCGAGCAGATGGACATCCACAGCGAGAGCGCGACGTTCCGCGAGGCGTTCCAGTTCAGCGCGATGCTCCGCCAGTCGGACGAGATCCCGACCGAAGAGAAGATGGCGTTTGCGGAAGAGTGCTTGGAGCTCCTTGACATGAAGAACCTCGGCGACATGATCATTCGTGGCGCGTCGGTCGAGCAGATGAAGCGTCTGACGATCGGTGTCGAGCTCGCGGCCGCCCCGAGTATTCTCTTTTTGGATGAGCCGACGTCTGGTCTTGACGCTCGCTCGGCCAAGATCATCATGACGGGTATTCGCAAGATCGCGTCGACGGGCCGCACGGTCGTCTGCACGATCCACCAGCCTTCGACCGAGGTGTTTGAGATGTTTGACTCGCTCCTCCTCCTCAAGCGCGGTGGCGAGACCGTCTTCTTTGGCGACCTCGGCACGAACGCTAGCCAGTTGATTCAGTACTTCAAGTCGATTCCCAACACGCCGCCGCTCGTCGAGGGTGCCAACCCGGCGACGTGGATGCTCGAGGTCATCGGTGCCGGTGTCGAAGCCAAGAACACCAACTTGCCGCCCAACGACTATGTCCAGATCTTCAACGGCTCGAACGAGCGTGGTCTTCTTGCCGCGGCGCTCGATCGCCACGCTGTGCCGCACCCGTCGCTGCCCGAGCTCACGTTTGGCAAGAAGCGCGCTGCGTCGTCGTCGACGCAGTTCAAGATGGTGACGCAGCGCTTCTTCCGCATGTACTGGCGCACGCCGTCGTACAACTACACGCGCGCGATGCTCTCGATCATTCTCGCGGTGCTCTTTGGTCTTGTGTACCGTGGTGTCGACTACACGACGTACATTGGTGCGACCGGTGGCGTCGGCATGATCTTCATGACGTCGCTCTTTGTCGGTTTGATCTCGTTCAACAGTGTCCTCCCGCTCGCCTCGGAGGAGCGCGCGTCGTTCTACCGTGAGCGCGCCTCGCAGACGTACAACGCGCTCTGGTACTTTGTCGGCTCGACGTTGGCCGAGATCCCGTACTGCCTCGTCACGACGTTTGTCTTCACGATCATCTTTTACCCGTTCGTCGGTTTGAACGAGTCGGTCGGCGCGTGTCTCTT